GGCGACCATCACGTTAGGCAACAACGTGACAGAAGCTCGGAATAATATCAATGGCGGCGACATGGAAGATAAATTATCGGGGGCATCATGGCCGATAAGGCATGGGCACATGCGCGTCCGATTTCGAGTGGGGGGCGGTGCACCCCACTCCCCCTTTACTGTGTGGGGTGGGGAGCTGTGTGGTCCGATTTCCACTGGATTGAGGTTATTTGATATAAAAAGTTATTTAATCAGTAAAAAATTTAATAACATGAGATACGCATCAAAAACTAAGAATAGGTGTCAAAATTGGAGAATATGCTCAATTTAGTTACTGGAAAATCAATGTTAGAACACAAATTGCAAATGTAAAATATATGAATTTTAAATATATATTAATCACGAATATAAATTAAATGAATTACAATTATAGAAATTATCAAAATAAATCGAAGCTCGCATGAACATTTTCGCTCTCCTGCCTTTATTTTCAGTATTTTCAGTATGAGAATTGGCGCACTGACGCCACCGAGACTCGAAATGATTTAAATTCAAAGGTACAATATATCGCCTTTAATAACTCAAATAATTGATTAATTATAAAATATATATGAAGTTATCAAAAAGTTATAAATAAATTCTCAGCAAAATTTCATCGCTTGTGCGGCCATGAAATAAAAAAAATAACTAAAAACTGAAAACCTAAATAAGTGAAACCTAAAACATATTTCAAAGATGGATTTTTAAACGCTGTCTCGATGAAATGATTTTAAAAATAATAATTGAGTTTGACCTATAAATATTTATTAATCATATCACTTATAGGCTTGGCGCTCTGCAGTCTTAACAATTATGAGGATCTTAATAATATGAGGGTAACGAGGGTAACCATTATGAGAGTTATTATATTATGAGAGTTACCCTTAATTAATATGAGGATTATATGAGGTTTACCCTTATTATTAGGAGAATAAAAAAGGCTACCATTAAGAAGGTTATTACATTATGAGAGTTACCTCTCATTATTACGAAGATCACCATTATTATTATTGACCCTCATTATTATGAGGGTCGCCCTCAGTGTTGAAAGGGTAACTTTATTAAGTATTATATACCTACTCAAAAGAAGTTAAATTAGAGGGCAAATTAAACATCATTGCAGTTGTCCTAATGAGAACACGTGTAACAAATGTCTACGCGCATCAAGAAACACAAGTATTGTTTAGACGATAATGTTGCCAGTTTTCACAATATAATACAAGGACAATACAATAAGGTTACCTGGGGACTAACTAAACAGCTACTAATTAGAACTTCTTCACTACTGGCGAACTGTCTACTTAATGACTTAATGAGAACTAATTAGTTAATATTCAGAAGATATGTAAGACTTGATTCAAAGGCCTACAGCTTATAAAGTTATCTTATAAGTCGCTAGACGAAACGTGGACTGATTTACATACAAGTCTATCAAACGAGAATAGCTATGAAAGGTATGCGAATTATTTAAATACCATCAAAATCGATTGTATTAACTTTTCTAGTTAAAAATATATTTGCAACTTAATGCTATTAATTGGTTAATTAGTTAGGAATAAACTAATTTAAAAAATTCTACTTATTGAACTAAGATTCATGCCAAAATCAAGATGTCCGTACCAGAGAACTGACTATATACATTGCCGTGTAATATAACGTCTTGATCGTTGACCATATTTGACGTCATACACAAAAATAACTTCCAAAACGTACGTCGTCCTTGCCAATGAACGTGAGTCTTAACAAAGATACAGCGATAACTGCTCCAAGATCGGCCTTCAGATCTGTTTTCTTCAAGGCCATTTCCATCAAGAGATTCCCAACTGACGTCACTTTGCTCGACTGTACATGGGAGCCGCCGCTGGTCACTGTACGCAGCGAAATAAGAGCGACATTGTGCAAATGGTGATGTTCTTTTCGTATATACTTGGGTTACCCTTACCAAGTTTGGAGCGGGGAAAAGACGTATGATTGCCTAGTGCACAAAGCATGTCACTATTCGGACAATATGACGCGCCAATTTTTTTGAGTGTGGGATTTTTTTGAGTGTGGGATTCCAGTGGTATGTTTGTAGATGTTTGAAAAAACATACAATTATTTTTTATACGTAATAATTTCGAAGAATGCTCTACTGTGCTTCGATAGTAGAGTTCCCATTAGATACCAACCTCTAACAGTGTTAACATACAAAAAACTTATGTAAGCATCACCAATTTCAAATAACGTTACATTCTAGACTCCTTTTCCGCCAGTAAATACTTCAATTTTTAAACGATAAAACTCCTCTGAAACATGGGGCGTTGGTTATGTCTAAAATATGTTTTCAGAAAAAAGAGAGGAGGGAAAGCGTACCTGCATGTTCTATAAAAACTTGAAATGAAACATTTTTAATTTTTAAATTCCTAAATTTCAAATTCCTAGATTTTCTAATTCTTAAATTTTCAAATTCTTTAATTTTTAAATTATTACATTTTAAATTCTTTGATTTGCTAATTTTTAAAATTTCAAATTCTTCAATTTCAAAATTCTTACATTTTCAAATTCAAATTCATTTTCAAATTTTTATATTTGAAAATACTTAATATTGAAAATTCTTAAACTTTAAAATTCATAAATTTTCAAATTCTAAATTTTAAATTCATAAAAATTTAGTTAAAAACTGGCCGTATTGCAGGCATAATCTTATTCATGTTTATAAAAGTTTTTCTCTGAATGCGAGTTTTTCAAGCCTAACATCGTAAATATAAATATACACTCAAGAAACCATGACCACCATGCAACCATAACACCATGCAACCATAACACCATACCACCCTCGCACCATAACTGACACATAACATTTCCCCCATTACCAGAAAAAGGTTACTTTCCCGTAATTCCAATCTTCTCTTAATAAATAATCAGGCCCAGTCCCATTTNACACCCTCGCACCATAACTGACACATAACATTTCACCCATTACCAGAAAAAGGTTACTTTCCCGTAATTCCAATCTTCTCTTAATAAATAATCAGGCCCAGTCCCATTTGTGGGGCCCGGTAGGCGTCCCGCTGGCTCCAGAGGGACGAACTCCGTGGACCCAATTAACACGTGCTAGACCCACTAGGAGGAAAGTCTGCTGACTCCAGACCCCGCTGACTCCAGGCCCTCCACATACTCCAGGCCCTCCTGCTGACTATGGACCATGCGCGGGCTCCAAACCCTCCTTTCACTCCACACTCCGATGACTCCAGACCCTCCACATACTCCAGGCCCTCCTGCTGATTATGGACCATGCGTGGGCTCCATTTATTTCACTCTAGACACTCCGATGACTCCAGACCCTCTGCTGACTCCATGTCCAGACGTCAAGAAAAGAAGAATTCATACATTACTTCGACGTGCAAAAGCGGCCTTCGTACTTCACTTCGACGAAAAATAGGGTTTTGTACATTTCGTACACTCGTAGGAAAATAAAAAAAATTTCGTACGAATAGCAACGGCTGAGGGACCGTAGAAGGTATACCAAATAACGCCATGTTTTAATTAATGATATAAATAATTATTTAACAATAATAAAACGGGTTTTCACGTAAGCAAAAATAAGGTTACAATAACTAAATTCTTTCAAGTAAATTTATGATGAAACGCAAATTAAAATACATTTTTTTATCTGAAATATTTATACTACGACGGTATAAATATTTCTTTCTATTTCCATTCCCAATTTTTTTCAATTTTCTAGGCACACGACCAGATTGTTATATAAAAAACTCGTGCTTCGTGCGCTATTTCAGTATCCGAGATAGAAAAAACTATGTGTGGATCCAACGTGTTTCCAGCATTGTGCTCCAAAAATATTTCTAGGCATCTTTGAAAGTAATTTAGTAAATTACTCTCATTTTGTCCTAGTGTTATAGCCAACACTGCTCCATGTGTGGCTCGAGACAAAAGATTTCTGTTCTACAATAGAAATCGTTCCCGATGACGTATTCTTCGATGTTCGATTTGTTAATGGCCTCGTGAGGTTGAGATGTCACCTCGTGACCAGAACTTTTTTTTGATGCCAATAAATATAGTGGATCTCTGGTTATTATTATATTGAGATTATTATGGCATTTTCATTTATCTAGACCTATAATAGCAACTTGGCGCAGCGTTTTTCCAATCACTTAAGAAGCAACACAAATAGAATGACGAGGCGTGGATGTAAGACAAGTCATAGATTGCAACAAGAAGCGTTGATATGATGGGAAATGTTTTATTTCGCCCCAACCAACGTGACACGACATCAATGAGACCATTACTATCTCATTGGGCAATTGTTGTCAATTATTTTGACAACAAAGGCATTACTTATTGTAATAGAATTAAGTTATTTGAGAAGTTATTTAGAAATTATGAAAGTTACTTCAATGCATTTCAAATTCAGCACCTACTTGACTAATTTAACTCTCTACCGCCTGACATGAGAAACCAGAGCAATATTGTCACCAGCCTACTTCCCAAAAAGGATAGGTTCTAGTGAGAGCAAAATGACTTACACTGATGGTTGCCGCCACGTACGAAAACTTTAAAATGTTCTCTGTTGCGTACAAACGTCCTCAGGTTGGTGCACTCAATAGTTTACGTATAATTTAAGTTAAAAGTTATGTTCCCGGAGAGTGACATACGGCGGTAGAGGGTTAAGGTTATCATCAGTCATCAAATAAGTAAAGCGGAGTGCCTTAACTTATTTCCTTATCATATACTTGATTAATAAAAAATTGAAACGTATATTTTTTGATTTCCAATATAAAATTAAAATTGAAGTTACACCATCTATGGAAATTTAAATTCTCAAGTTCAAAAGAATGGATGCAATGATAGATGTTCATTAGAACCTGGTGATTTATTCATGAGTTCTGAATGTTTAGCTTTCCATAGCGTAGATTTCGTGATAAACCTAGATGATAAGTAAGTATTTATAATGAGAAGTAAGTACAAGTGAGGGTGAAGGAAACGATAAATGCGTATTATCTTATTATACTGTTATGACATAGCAACAAAATTAAGCGAGAGAATTACAATTACAGAAAAATTAAATGAATTTTAGATGTGAAATTAGTAAATTCAAAAACAGAATTTTAATCTTTAACCGAGGTTCACAGGTTTCACAAGTTTTGACCTTAGAAGCAGAAGCCTCGTACGTTTCACGATAAGCCATATAAGAATTTTGCACACATTAAAACATGAATTGTGTTCCAAAAGCTAAAAATCTTTCGGAAATTCGCTTATATATTATTGTGTACTAAAGAAGATATGCAGATTTGATTGAAGACAAGAGCATACTTTCTATTATCAAATTTCTTGTTACTTTTTTCAAAAAGCCGAACGAAATTTTTTGCTGGTGCTTGGAGATCAAAAAGCAGATTACCAAATGACATTTTACTGGAATATGTACGAAGTTTCGAGTAGTCAATAATCATAATCAAGTAGGTGAAGAGTTATTACAATCATGTTACAATTGAAATTTGAACATGACATAAGTACATACAAAAAGTATCGTAGAGACGGTTCAAAATCGAAAATTAAATTAATCCGAGAATAATTTCAACGCCCGTCATAAATGAAGAACTTTTGCCTAACTACACTCACTAAAAGATATGTATATAATATTGGTCATAAAATATAATGCCCGTCACAATTCTGCAAAAGGCAAAGCAAACGACTGCGCTTTGATAAAAATAAGGCAACGAGAAGAAGAGGAGAACAATTAAGAAGTCTAACTTGAATACCATTATGTAGAATGTCGATAAGAACGGTTATAAAATAAGGCTATTTATGTTTTAGGTGCTCGTACAAGTTATCAATTGAGATTGAAGTCCTTAAAGCTAAAGAGTGTTGCAAAACACTACAAATATTATAATTACAGATCACATTGTAAATGGCAAATAACATATTTTAAAGTTCACGGTATTTCTGTACTGCATTTCTTTCCACAAGTACCTCAATCCGAAAGAGAATCCGATGTATGGGTTTATCCGCATTTTTATATTAAATCGAGTGTATTTTTTTACTACATTCGTGGAATGGAAAGCGTGTTAGTACCTTGAGCGTTTCCAAAATACTATCAGGAACTTGGGTAGGGCTCTTTCGATTCAAAATAGTAACATTTAAACGACTTAAGAAGTTTGATAACTCAATTTGCTCCTATCAAGAATCATCCGAAGGCAGTGAGTAGGAAGCTTCATCGAAATTATAACTAAACCATTAGAACATGTATACAAGATATGCATGAAAAAGATACTCGAAGGCTCTAATGAGCTCAATTGCAGAAGTTAAGCGCAACTCAGTTGTTGGATTCATCAGAGTGAGTACCGACTATGTTGTCACTAATTCTCTCAGGATATTGGAGCGCGTGTTCAGCCTTCGGTCCAAACTTGTATACAAAACACCTCTCAGAGACGGCAGACAGCGCACCTGTAACGTAATGATACCTCAAACCCCGAGCGAAGTTCTCGTAGCTCAGCATTTCTGTGAAATGCTTGCCTGTCCTTTTACCCCATCGCAAGGCAATGGCATCCGGTTTTACAAGCCGGAATATCCCTTCACTCTCGTTCTCCCAGCGGATTAGGGAAGGATTAGTGCTTGGATCCCGTAGGAGACGTAAGAGATACTCCCAAGATCTTGGTCCTCTAACCCTTCTTCTTTTCGTCGATGAAATTTTGGTTAAAAGAGGATCATTCGTAACACCTTCTGGACTGCTTCCGCTGTTTTCACTGAACTCAGCCCTGCTTTCATCAACCTCCAAAGGTCGCCATGAGTAAACAGAATCAGAAGACTGTGGACTCGTGGATTGAGAGGCCGAAATTACGGGCCTCTCCTCAAGATTTGTGTTCTGCCGACGAACGCTTGAATCTGGCACTGGAAAGCTAGAAGAAGAATTAGAACTCGTTTCATCCGTGGGTGTAGGTGGCATGGGACGGGGAGATTCATCTACTTGAATAATTTCCACACCAGTCTCAGCTGACATGTTCCTCACAGTCATATTCTTCGTGTAGACTTTTTGGACTTTAGGGGTGGAAATTTTTGTGGTGCAGATGGGAGTAATTGAACAGGCTGTGGCATAACGTAGCCTTTCGATGGATGTGCTTTGGCTGTAGCTCGATGGCCAGCCATTTCGCGACGAAAAGGAATTTGATCTTCTCATCAGTGATTGGTCTGTTTTTAAATGATCGACATTTACCTGGAAAAATATTTTGCATATTAAACAAAACTCCGAGACATATATGTTATAAAAAGCTCTAATGGATGTCTAATTACTTGTACTTAATCATGAAAAATTTACGTAAACTGGAAAAGCTAAGGCATCAAGGACTCAGGAGTAGCAGATTGGATTAACAACGGAAAGTCGATACTGATCGGGCTTGAGCATGCAAGCTTAAATACTCCATGTTAACCTCTATTCATTACAGCTGAAAAATTCTTAAGTTTTGGCCGCAAGTCAAGCCATGGAACTTACAACTTTCACCGAAGAAGCAGAAGACCGATCTTTGTATGCGTTGGCGTTACGCCGAAGTTCGTAGTCCACTTTGATGTGGTCATCGGCCGCTCGAACGCCTGGGGTTCTGCTAGGAATTAATGAACCTTGTCTGTAGAACCCTTCCTGAACGTACGGGCTATCGCCTATGCTCCTACGACGATCTGGGTATCCAGGTCTAGGATATCCGAAGGATTCTTGAGTCTCATAAGAATTTCGATGAGACGAAACCACGTTGACAGGAGGAAGATACTGAGGAGTGCTGATGGCAGCGTACCGTCTTGGGATCGGAACCTGCACAACCTGAGGCACCACCACGTGGCTGTTGTGGAAGTGTTCGGTGGCTCGAGGCTCTTGATTGTAGTTAGGATGTTGAGCCAATGGCGTTTGAGTGCTGTTAGGTCGTTGAGCCGAGGGCGTTTGAGTGCTGTTAGGTCGTTGAACCGGGGGCGTTTGAGTGCGGTTAGGTCGTTGAGCTGAAGTCGTTTGGGTGCTGTTAGGTCGTTGAACCGGGAGACTTTGAGTTGAGTTCGAGGTGAGGCAATTGACATCTGGCGGAAGGGAACTTGGACGGGTTGAAGTTCCCCCCAATGGGGATTGGATGGGTGGTGGGGACACACTCCTTGTGATAGCTCCTGAAGAGCCCCGCGCTGATTTGAACGATGTCGAGGATGGCAGAATTTTTCCAAATGCACGGACCTCCCTTAGCGCAGTGGACGATGATGCTACGGAAAGTTGGTCTGGTTTCTGAAAGAAATTACAATGTTAGGTTGTTCTATAAGCCTTGATGAACATTTAATGTTTAGCTTGAATCTTTCATAGATTCCACATCTTAAAAAATTGTAAAATTTTTGCTCGGATCAAAATTATTTTTATGACCTGCGAATTTTTTTTAATCTGACATTGTTGAGGGAAACACATTCAGATTAAAAAATATTAATGAATATTATTAACAAAATAAAGTCCTTTGACGATGCAGTGATTATTTGGTGTTAATTTAAGAAGGAACAGGTCCAATATGTAATTATAATTAGAGATACATTGCCATTTAAGAATAAATTATTGAGAATGATTATAAGATAATGAAGAAGGATTTGGTGAATAAAAAAAACACCAAAACGGAATGGATAGGAGACACAGATATTAAAATAAGATATAAAGCATCAACACCAAAGCTTCATAACTATGGGGAATTTCAAAAGAGATTGCTATTAATAGGGTATAGTTCGTTCGATAAACAGACACACAGAATTTTAGGAAGAGGTATAACTTCAATCATCTATTCCCTTCAATTCTATTGTTTTTGTCGCCTTCGTTCGTTTGTGCATTATAAATGCTTCACTGAAACTCCATAAAATGTTTTCTAATCTTACAGAATAAGCCTTATTTTTGTAATAATATAAAATCTCAATTGAACATCATACAACTCTATTTGAACCTTAGTTGCTGGAGGCGCGATGGTTGTGGATGTGGAGGAGTCACACGCGAGGCGATCCTTCACAGCCTCGTCGTCAGAAACGCTGCACACGTCCACTAACTCAGGAGGATCTTCCTGCTTAATATCCTTAGTTTCCACCTATGGAACAATAAACAATTATTTAATAATGGTAAAATTTAGCTTGTACTGTATTTAAAAATTCAGGGTCTGGATAACCTTAAAAAATGGCAAAATGAAATCATGTTTTTGAACGTAGCTGTGGAAAAGAACGAACATTTGCTACGGTCGACACAAAAGGTGTATCGAGCATGTGAACTGTCCGACAAACAACTCAAATAAAAAAAAACTTGAAGAGATTTAGATGTGTATTGAAAAGGTGTAGGCAATACAACGGCAATCAAATTTGAGACGAAGACAAAAATCATAACTTGAAGCGCGAGCAAAATTTTAGGTCGTTGAAAATGTGTGCCTTTTTATTCAACACAAGTGCTTGGACGTAATAAAGATATAAGAGTAAACACTTAATCAATGGCAATAAAAATTAAAAATATTTTCTAGTGTCGATTTGAAATATACTAAGAATGTTGGTCATGTTATTCTTGTTACGAGTTCAATTAACAGAACGCAAAAGGGTTTAAAACAAAAGGATTTTTACAACTGATAATCAACTCACGCTCTGGAAAGTTGATTGTGCAGCGGTCACAGGCACCCGTAGAGCCTCCCGAAGTTTGCTCTCCCCCGCCAGTGGCGCAGTCAACAGAGAAAATTCCGACAGGGGCTTACCATAGCTAGG